CGGGGGATGTTCCATATTTATATACTAGTAAACAACAACTTTAACAATACAACTGTTCCTATGTACGAAACAAAGATTCCCCAAACTTTTGGGGTTGAATGCATCCTGGAAGGGTTTGAGTAAGCTAAAAGTAGTTCGAAAAGGATTTTGAGCAAGACACAAACCAAATATTTAAGTCATACGGAGTGTTTCAAAATGCATGTCACACATCTTAATGGGTATAGTTTAAATAAAAGCATGGTGCCCAAAATGCTAAAATATCATAGACAATCAAAATGATCTGAAATATCGGGAAAATGAATGATGTTTATGTAGCTTGTGTTGTATTGTTTTCTTTCTGCCTTTGGATGTGTGGCATATATTGTAAAACACCCTGTATATGTAATTATAAACTTTTTGAACCTGCAGTGCAGTGAAAGGCTTTGTTTTCTTGATTGGGGGAGGAATTTTCCGACGTCGTTTTCACCAAAGATTTGAATGTCAAATAATAATTTAACAGGATTGAAACAAAAAATTGAAACGCTTCTTCGACTGGATCCACCACTGGGTCTTTGTCATAACAGGAAGCAAAACATTTTATTTCAAATCATTCAAAAAAAACATGCGTATTTAATATTTTTCTTTACGAGCTTATGATGTTATGAAGAGAGAGAGAGAGAGAGAGAGAGAGAGAGAGAGAGAGAGAGAGAGAGAGAGAGAGAGAGATGGTAAAAATAAAGTATCCCACCTCTTATGATGATATATGTATCCTTTGCGTCTTTCTTTTGTAAATGGTATATATCAGGTCCACGCGATTTATCAAAGTAAAATGTAATCAACTACACAAAAACGCAAGCCGCAAATCTACGACAGAAAACAATAAATATTCATTCAACGGCATCCCAAGAACTGCTCACAAAAATTGATATGAAGTCCTCAATGGAGTTTGAATGAATACAAAGTATATAATAGGACAACATCATACAAAAGTAAATATCAATTCCATGGAACACAAAAGTTAATTTCACATTGACGACACGTAAATATTCAATTCGAGTCAACTGCAAACAAAAATAATAATAAGTCGAGGGCATAAAACATAATTGACACAGTTATTTATACCAACACAACTGCAAGCAAAAGTAAGAAATGAATAACACAGAAATGTAAACATCAAATGGATTCCTCACAAATGTAAGAATCGAATGGACTCCACATATTCGTAAATATCAAATAGACTCCACACAAAAGTAAATATCAAAAGGACTCCACACAAAAGTAAATGTCAAAAGGTCTCCACACAAACGTAAATATCAAATGGACTCCACACAAACGTAAATATCAAATAGACTCCACACAAACGTAAATATCAAATGGACTCCACACAAACGTAAATATCAAATAGACTCCACACAAACGTAAATATCAAATGGACTCCACACAAACGTAAATATCAAAAGGACTCCACACAAACGTAAATATCAAAAGGACTCCACACAAACGTAAATATCAAAAGGACTCCACACAAACGTAAATATCAAAAGGACTCCACACAAACGTAAATATCAAATGGGTTCCACGCAATGAACTTCTCACAAAAGTAAATATCAAATGTATTCCTTCAGAAATTAAAATCAAATGCATCGACTGCACAAAAGGTAAATAGTAAATATGAATAGACTCTACACAAATATCATCAAATGGACTACACTCAAAAGTAAGTATCAATTAAGTGGACTCCACACAGATGTAAATGCTAATAGCATCAAATCGACTAAATACAAAAGTAAATATCAAATCAATATAATATCAAATCGTCTGCATATCTTAAAACATCAGTGTGATGCAGCGGCAATAAAATTGTGTCTCAATCTTTCGTTTTTCTTACAACAATGTGTTCAGTACCGTTTTCCTGCATTTTGTCACGTGATAGATGTACTGACTAATGTGCAAGCGTAAAAAAAAGACTCTTAACATAGAAATGAATAAGTAGAAAAAGAGAGTCTTTGCTGGAAAAGAATAAGTGCAAATCTTGTTATTATGCAATAATCTTTATTGCCACTTTTATTAGAAACAAAAACACTTAATTCGGAATCTACTTTGATTGTTTTAGCTAAGTTTTTGGTTGACAGTATCTATGCAGTTTTTGGAGATCAAGTTTTTCAACAATCTGTCGGAATTCCCATGGAAAGGAATCTTTTGGTCTGGTTTTAACTTCAACATTTAGATATATCGGCTTCCTTTTATCATCAAACAATAGTTTTTTTCTTCCTACTGTTGATTTGATGTATCCCTTTGAGCTTGAAATAAAAGACCATAGAGTCTGACACATCTATGTTTACTTTTACACCGGGAAGAGAGTGAGAACTCATTCACAAGAGCTTCAATATGTTCTTCGTCAAATACAGATATTTTATGCGTAACAAACATTGTTTTATAATTTAACTCAATCAGTATTTTATTATGTAAAGTCAATTTACATCATTCGATATCAGGCATAGCCTATATAAGTCCTCTCCAAGAAGGTCAAGGTTACAAATGTTAAGAACTGACAATGGTTTACAATGATGAAATAATTCGTCATAAGTTATATTGATTTCTATTGTAAACTAAAAAAAGGAAGAGATGAAAAAGATAAAATTATACATAAAAATTATTACTTAGTATGTATTCTCATTATACAATATAATGAAAAAGAAATAAAAGAGTGCAAAAAAAAAAAAAAAAAACAACGAAACTAAATAAGTAAATAAGATATATCGACGACGTATTGTCATTTAACAATGGTTATTTCCATTCTTATGTCGACACGATAATCCCGATGAGCTTGGAATAAAAAGATACCACAGATTATGACACATCTGTATCATATTCAGATATTTTACTAGAAAAAGACGTTAATGGTAACCTAGTACTTATGACAAACGTCATGACTTAAACTTTTCTATCATCAACTTCCCTAAATTTTGAATCAATATACCATTATACCTGCATATGCAGTTAATGTATCCCATTTGATTCGATACCCAAGTAGATGCGATTCTCTATGTACGAACAATTTCTAAAACGACGAAAGGTATTGACAAATAAGTTGATGATACAGGAATACCAGCAATCTCGTTGAAAGGCAACATTTCGCAAATTCTATGGTCGATACAATGACCTTGTCAGCGAATACAATCTATTAAAAAGTTGAATGTTGACTGACGTTTTTTTTTTTCAAACAAATTGTTAGGCAATTGCTTTTACACTGGATTGTCTAAATGTTAATTTAAGTAAAATTTTGTCATTCAAATTTTCTAACAGTTCCTTGGAGTTTTAAATTTTAAATCTCTACACCTGATTAACATCATTTCTCGAATATATTGTAGTACAGTACTTCTGAAATTCCTCCTTCACCACTATCTGTTATTATTTTAGTGAGGAGTGGAATATATTGTAGTACAGTACTTCTGAAATTCCTCCTTCACCACTATCTGTTATTATTTTAGTGAGGAGTGGAATATATTGTAGTACAGTACTCCTGAAATTCCTCCTTCACCACTATCTGTTATTATTTTAGTGAGGAGTGGAATATATTGTAGTACAGTACTTCTGAAATTCCTCCTTCACCACTATCTGTTATTATTTTAGTGAGGAGTGGAATATATTGTAGTACAGTACTCCTGATTTTTCTCCTTCACTGCTATCTTTTAATACGAGTATTTTAGTGAGAAGTAAAGAAAGAGGCTTGGTAGAACATTTACTGGAACCCGATGTCTTTGTTTGTAAGGAGTTTTGAGTAGTTTGGGAATCCAGTATAAGTATGGTAATTCTAGTTCAATGAAAATATGGAGATAACGAGTAGTATTCAAGCTCAAAAGTCCAATGTTCAATGTAACTGTATAATAAAAATATCTAAAATATAATGGTGAAGATAACGAACAGTGATCGAACTCAATAATTCTATAAACAATACAAATCTGGGAAGTGGGCACGAAGTACGGATCCCTGGAAATTCCAGTGGTGGGATAAGGTGTCTAGGAGGAGTAAGCATCCCCTTTTCACCAGTCACACCCGCCGTGATCCCTTTGTTTTAATTAGGTAGACAGAACATTCCGTAGTTAAATTCAGTATAAAAACAAAAGCCTTACAATTGGTATGAAACAAGTCTAATTACGACCCAAAGATAGGTTATATTTGCTAACAAGATCATTATAATGACCATAGAATTTACGAAATGCTGACTTAAAACGGTTTTTTTTTTTAAATCCCTGTAACATCGTTATCTGTTAGCAGCCTGCCTCGCTTTAAAAACTGATCGTAATTGGAGCATGCTGTTGAGTATCGAATGAGTTGGGAAATGTTAACATCTTATGCAGGTGATAGTGGGATACTACCTCATTAATAATTAATGTTGAAGATGGTAAATGTGGTATCAACTTGTTCGTCATACAATTTAGTTGCTAGTTAGCCCTTAACGTCTATAGTTAGTAAAACAAACAAATATGAAACAGATGTGGCAGAGTCTGTCTTTCATTTTAAGTTCACTGGGAAATATCGATTCGACATATGAATGAAAGTAACTATTGTTAATTGATAATACATTGTCACTTTATCTAAATGTTGAATTGAAGGCCACATGTAGGACTCAACTGACACATGATTTTGAAGAATTTTCCCCTTAGAAAGGGAGCTATGGATATAAGTTGATTATTATCACTTTAAAATCGGCTTTAAAATACTTACAAGAGGTTAAGGCTCAAATTTTAAGAATTTTTGTGAAAATTAATAAACTCATAAGATTTTTCTTATGATGGAAATTTATTCTAAGACGTTTTGGTGAAAAGGTCTACTGGTTTTTATTCTTAATTTCCTAAACAAATTAATTTTAAATAGAGCTTTATATTTACCATGATGTCAATCTGCACTACTTACATCTTCCCCCTGGTCACTCTGAGATGAGTTTGAAAAAATCTTAACCAATCAAAGCATATTAAATTCCTGATGATTTAATTCATCTGGTGATCAGAGCATCAATATACAGTTATTTAACAAGACAGTATATAGTCAAAAGTAGAACTGGAAAATTAATAACAGCCTTGTAGATTATTGTTGCAGGTTGTGTGTTAAATGGACATAACAATATACAAAATAATATATAAATAAATGACTGTACATAACAATATATATGAACATGTTATAACAGTATTGAGCACAGGTAATGCACTGGTTAATGCTGAACATTTGAAAGTTGTGTCATTAAAAGTCACATGACATTCTACATGTTAGTCAATTAAAAAATTTTATACATAAAGTTACATGTTATGTGACTACTGCAAATGTGAAAATTTACAAGTGTGGTGTTTCAACTTAAATATACAGTAGGTTACTTTTTCAGGTAAATACCTTCCATGAACAGATGTCTTTGTATGTACATCTTATTCATCTTACAGCTTACAGATTTCGCTTCATAATGGTAAATTTTCACATTTTACAGTATTCACATCACAAATCTGTTTCTTTGCTTATAAATAGCTCTATAGACTAAAGCTGAGAAATGTTTACCCTGTTCTGTACAATAAAAATCCATAATCAACTATGGGTCAATCTAATTAATACACTTAAGGATCTGTCATCTATTACGATCATTATCATAGCAACACACAACTGACGGATTTCTTTTTTCGCTGGAATGCATTGGCTGCCATGATAACGGTGGCTACTTTTGTGGGGTTTTTATTGTCCCGTTTGGAGTCTGGAGTTTCTAGCAAAAATGCCTTAAAAAGATTTTTATCAATGTTCATTTCATGTGGGTCACCCCCTTCTGCTGTGACCCGCTTTTCCTCGGCTATGAGATCTTTTGCCTCCTGGATTAGCTCCCTTTGAACCTCAGGCGTTATGGGATGTGTGTGGATGTGGATTATAGTTCCAAGCTTCACACGATTGGCTGAAATTATAGAAATTACCAAGTTCATTACACCAACGTATACAAAAACATAAACTGTTAAAATGATTATGTTACTGAATTATCTAATATGTAAATAAATTTGATCATACAAAGGATGTACATTTATTAAGTAGTTTGTACACTGTACTGTACATTTATTAAGTAGTTTGTACACTGTACTGTAAAACAGATTTATCAGGGTTTATAGTGAAGTATCAGGGAGGAACAAATTTGATTTTTTTATTACAAGTTATTAACATATTTTGCTATACCCAATAACTTCATAATACCTTTTTTAAGTACAGTCAGTTAATGAAAATCACTTTACAAGTTATTAACATATTTTGCTATACCCAATAACTTCATAATACCTTTTTAAAGTACAGTTAATGAAAATTACTTTACTAGTTATTAACATATTTTGCTATACCCAATAACTTCATAATACCTTTTTAAAGTACAGTTAATGAAAATCACTTTACTAGTAATTAACATATTTTGCTATACCCAATACCTTCATAATACCTTTTTACAGTACAGTTAATGAAAATCACTTTACTATAAGATTGAGTTCATTATAAGTGTGTTTACTGTAGAATAATGTGTTTAGCTGTATAAAGTATTTTTACATTCTACATCGTATACTGCATCTATACAATTTGTCTGAGTAATATACTGCACTGCATCCATTGTACTGGAATACTATAGTAAGTTAAAGCATATAGACCAGTTATAAAAGTACCTGGTCACATGACCAAATCACATGACTTACCACCACTGGGGAGCATTATGATTGGATAAACTCCTCCTGGAGGCTCGTAGATGACTCGTGTCAGTACAACAGTCAGGTTAATACACAGATAACAAATTATAAGACGGTCTTCCTGTTTTTTTATTTCACTGTCGGGAAAAATCACTCCCCATCCAATTTTATCTCCAACAGAAACACTGGACTCAGCTGAAATAATGATGCAAAGTATAATAAGTCTCCAACAGAAACACTGGACTCAGCTGAAATAATGATATAGAGTATAAAAAGTCTCCCACAGAAACACTGGACTCAGATGAAATAGAGATACAGAGAATAATAAGTTTCCAACAGAAACACTGGACTCAGATGAAATAATGATACAGAGTATAAGTTTCCAACTGAAACACTGGACTCAGCTGAAATAATGATATAGAGTATAAAAAGTCTCCCACAGAAACACTGGACTCAGATGAAATAAAGATACAGAGAATAATAAGTTTCCAACAGAAACACTGGACTCAGATGAAATAATGATACAGAGTATAATAAGTTTCCAACAGAAACACTGGACTCAGCTGAAATAATGATACAGAGTTTAATAAGTCTCCAACAGAAACACTGGACTCAGCTGAAATAATGATACAGAGTTTAATAAGTCTCCAACAGAAACACTGGACTCAGCTGAAATAGAAAATGATACAAAGTATAATAAGTCTCCTTTTCAAAGAGACACGACACACAACTGACTGAATAGAATATTTATCACACATATATTGTCATCCAGAATCATATATTCCAAGGCCTGCAGCATTCACATCATTAGTCTTGATGTTCCGACCTTAACCTTTGAACATATGACCAAAACAATTTCTGGTTCTCATGGACCTAGTTAGAGAACTGAAGTTTGCAGGGTTGACCTTGGAAAGAATGACTCCATACATAAATGCTTTTCTTCAATTTACTTCAATGTATTTACTGAGTATGAAATCTGTATTTAAAAAACCGAATTATCAAATATTTAAGGAATGTTTTTAAGTTTTGTGTGAGTTATTGGTGTGTAAATCACACAGACTTGTCACGTAGGCATATTTCATGAAGCGCGTTAGCGCTTCATGAAAAATATGCCTACGTGCAAGTCTGTGTGATTTACACACCAATAATTCACACTAAACTGAAAAACATACCTTATATTTACATTTTACAAATTCAAAAGCAACAACATTATGCTCAATATTTGAATTTCTTGCTGTCCTATATCGTTACATTTTTATTAACGTCTCTGTAGCCTCATTGTGACGTCACTTTAGCGCAAGTTTCACCGTGTATATTTCTACGCGTGAGTATACACAAAAATGAACTTCAAATCAATTGCACAGTTGGCTTAGTAGAAAAACATAGCAAATGTAAATATTGTAAAATATCCCTTAACGTTAAATTTGTGCTTAGTCTCTCCATATTATAAGTACTGAATATGTAAAATTTAAGGGCTTAAATTTCTCAAAATACAAAGTTACATAATATGGTTAATGAATAATGCACCAGGACACTGCTATAAGGCACTAGCATTTTGATGCTGGACCTTCCTGTATCACACCTACCTGTTCTTATAATCACTATTCTCGTGATCAAAGTAACAAAATTACACCATTATCCATCCCTACTAGAGATGTAATGATACAGCAATATATTGATCCATTTAATTTTAATACCATGACAATTGTATCACATCATCAGTGTAGCATGATGTTTATCATTATATCTCATTATAATTATTTTCCACAACGCGTTATCTGATTGGTTCTAAATTCTCACATGACAGGGCAATAAAACTTCTTATTTCATGAAAAGCCCTCGGGAATATGATTTTTCTTGGCTGAATAAATCTTCATATTTCCCTCACGATCTTGCAATAAATGTATATTGTATTGTGGTACAGTTGATGTCATGTTTCATTGCTGTGATGTGTAAAGTACCTGTTTACAGTCAGTGTTATGTTTCAGTATTGTGATGTGTATTATATCATGATACAGTCAGTGTTTCAGTATTGTGATGTGTATTATATCATGATACAGTCAGTGTTTCAGTATTGTGATGTGTATTATATCATGATACAGTCAGTGTTTCAGTATTGTGATGTGTACAGTATCATGATACAGTCAGTGTTTCTGTATTGTGATGTGTATAGTATCATGATACAGTCAGTGTTTCAGTATTGTGATGTGTATAGTATCATGATACAGTCATTGTTGTGTTTCAGTATTGTGATGTGTATAGTATCATGATACAGTCAGTGTTTCAATATTGTGATGTGTATAGTATCATGATACAGTCAGTGTTTCTGTATTGTGATGTGTATAGTATCATGATACAGTCAGTGTTTCAGTATTGTGATGTGTATAGTATCATGATACAGTCAGTGTTTCAATATTGTGATGTGTATGGTAACATGATACAGTCAGTGTTTCAGCATTGTGATGTGTATTATATCATGATACAGTCAGTGTTTCAATATTGTGATGTGTATAGTATCATGATACAGTCAGTGTTTCTGTATTGTGATGTGTATAGTATCATGATACAGTCAGTGTTTCAGTATTGTGATGTGTATAGTATCATGATACAGTCAGTGTTTCAATATTGTGATGTGTATGGTAACATGATACAGTCAGTGTTTCAGCATTGTGATGTGTATTATATCATGATACAGTCAGTGTTTCAGTATTGTGATGCGTATTATATCATGATACAGTCAGTGTTTCAGTATTGTGATGTGTATAGTATCATGATACAGTCAGTGTTTCAGTATTGTGATGTGTATAGTATCATGATACAGCCAGTGTTGTGTTTCAGTATTGTGATGTGTATAGTATCATGATACAGTCAGTGTTTCTGTATTGTGATGTGTATTATATCATGATACAGTCAGTGTTTCAATATTGTGATGTGTATAGTAACATGATACAGCCAGTGTTTCAGTATTGTGATGTGTATTATATCATGATACAGTCAGTGTTTCAGTATTGTGATGAGTACAGTATCATGATACAGTCAGTGTTTCTGTATTGTGATGTGTACAGTATCATGATACAGTCAGTGTTTCAGTATTGTGATGTGTACAGTATCATGATACAGTCAGTGTTTCAGTATTGTGATGTGTATAGTATCATGATACAGTCAGTGTTTCAGTATTGTGATGTGTATAGTATCATGATACAGTCAGTGTTTCAGTATTGTGATGTGTATTATATCATGATACAGTCAGTGTTTCAGTATTGTGATGTGTATAGTATCATGATACAGTCAGTGTTTCTGTATTGTGATAGGTATAATATCATGATACAGTCAGTGTTTCAATATTGTGACGTGTATTATATCATGATACAGTTAGTGTTTCAGTATTGTGATGTGTACAGTATCATGATACAGTCAGTGTTATGTTTCAGTATTGTGATGTGTATAGTATCATGACACAGTCAGTGTTTCAGTATTGTGATGTGTACAGTATCATGATACAGCCAGTGTTTCTGTATTGTGATGTGTATAGTATCATGATACAGTCGGTGTTGTGTTTCAATATTGTGATGTGTATAGTATCATGATACAGTCAGTGTTTCAGTATTGTGATGTGTATTATATCATGATACAGTCAGTGTTTCAATATTGTGATGTGTATAGTAACATGATACAGCCAGTGTTTCAATATTGTGATGTGTATAGTATCATGATACAGTCAGTGGTGTGTTTCAGTATTGTGATGTGTATAATATCATGATACAGTCAGTGTTTCAGTATTGTGATGTGTATAGTATCATGATACAGTCTGTATTGTGATGTGTTGCAGTATTTTGATCTGTATCGTATCTTGATGCAGTCTGTATTGTGATGTGTATAGTAACCTAATTTAGTGCCCTGTGGTAATCTGGCCTTTTCTTACCTTCATCAACGGCAAGAAATCTGACATAATCTTGTCTAAAGTTGGAAGACGACCCAGGAGTGATATCCTGGGAACAGGGGGAGCTGAGGGCAATCCCTGGGGGTGGGGCACCAGCCTCCTTACCAAACTTATCAAGGATCTGTACCTCAAAGTAGTCATAATCTGAAATACAACAAAATAGTCATAATCTAAAATACAACAAAAGTATTAAATCATTCCATCCTTTATATACAGAGACAAAGGCACCCTTAGATAATTAGATTCAGAGAGAGAACTAGATAAAGATATAGAAACAAAGATTTCTGGGTCAAATTATTGAATAGACTGAAAAAAAAGGTTCCATATCTGTCTGATAAATATCAGCTCTGACTTATTATGGGTTGGTTTGTTACATTTTTCTAACTTTAGATTGATCAAAGAGTTCTGGAAAGTTTATAAAGACAGTTAAGTTGTATTAGGAATGATATAAATCAGATATCACACTTACAAAACCACACTCTTAAAAGAAAATGGAGACTTTAGAAAGATTTGTGACTTGTAATTACATATGGGAAATATCCAGTAGGAATTTTGTTATTTTCAGGATGTAAATAACACAGTTACTTGGGTTTAAAAGGTCCAGAACACTGTTACAGTAATAGAACTGGTTTGTTATGTTTAGGTATGATTAACATCCACAATTACTTCACTCTAGCCAAAAAAAGAAGACTATGATAAGTAGTGGTTGGTTTGATATCTACCCGCTCCTACTGATATCAGGGTCAAAAGGTTATGGAGACTTTATAGGGACTGATTGGACAGTTGTGTAACTGTGATAAATATTCACATTTACTTAGCACAGAGTCAAAGGCTGTGGAACTTGAAAAAGGATTGATAACTGATAGTTGTATTTAGGTAAGTGTCCAAACTTGCTTAACTCAGGGTCAAAAGGATGTAGATATACTTTATGCCAATCAGTTCTGTAACCCTGTAATAACTATATATATTATATTACATAATAACTATATATATTCATATTTACTAGACTTAGGGTTCAAAGGTTATGGATACTTTATAAAGACTACATGCCATTGTGTACTAGTTGTACTTAGATAAATGTCAAACTTACTTGACTTTGGGTCAAAAGGTTGTAGGGACATTATAAGAACTGAAAAGTTATATTCAGGTTAAAATCCACACTTACTTGACTCGGGGTCAAAAGGTTATGGATACTTTATAAAGACTACATGCTATTGTGTACTAGTTGTACTTAGATAAATATCAAACTTACTTAACTTTGGGTCAAAATGTTGTAGGGACATTATGAGAACTGAAAAGCTATATTAAGGTTAAAATCCACACTTACTTGACTCGGGGTCAAAAGGTTGTGGAGACTGTATAAGGATAGGTTCGTTGTGTTCAGGTGCTGTAAATATTCGGTTCTTCCTGTCAACAGTAACATCTTTTGAATAACACCAGTCTTGGGGGTTATGCTGTAAAATAATTATACACTCAGTGAACCAGATGAATGTTACACTCACTGAACCAGATGAATGTTACACTGAGTGAACCAGATGGATGTTACATCCAGTGAAGCAGATGAATGTTACACTCAGTGAAGCAGATGAATGTTACACTCAGTGAACCAGATGAATGTTACACTCACTGAACCAGATGAATGTTACACTCAGTGAACCAGATGAATGTTACACTCACTGAACCAGATGAATGTTATATTCAGTGAACCAGATGAATGTTACACTCACTGAACCAGATGAATGTTATACTCAGTGAACCAGATGAATGTTACACTCAGTGAACCAGATGAATGTTATATTCAGTGAACCAGATGAATGTTACACTCAGTGAACCAGATGAATGTTACACTCAGTGAACCAGATGAATGTTACACTCAGTGAACCAGATGAATGTTATACTCAGTGAACCAGATGAATGTTACACTGAGTGAACCAGGTGAATGTTACACTCAGTGAACTAGATGAATATCTAACAGAGGAAATTCAATGTTTTGTGTTGGGTATGGATTTAGTTCACAAGAAGGACAGAACACTGTTGATTTTTTCACGAGTGTGAAGCATGAGTGAAAACATGAAAAATACTGTCTCAAGTTTGAAATAAATTCCATGTCCTTTGAAATATTAAATTTTCTTACAAAACATTGAATTTTCCTATAAAACATTGAACATAATTCCTATAAAACATTGAATTTTCCTACAAAACAATTAATGTCATTGAATTTTCCTATAAAACACTGAATTTCTCCACAAAACAATTAATGTCATTGAATTTTCCTACAAAACGTTGAATTTTCCATTTAAAGCCTTTGATTATCTGCAGTTTTGCTGTTGTGTGGTACTGTGTATTTGACACAAATATGTTTTAATAGTTATTATATAAGTTACTTCTGGATTTACACAAAATAATGAAACAAATACTGAACACTGATTACTGTGACACAGAGCTAAAAGAACTTAGTGTTGTGTGGACTAAATTGACAATTCAGTATGGAACTTTACATGTAATTGATACCTATTATGCAAGTAATACTAGTTGTTGAAGTCTAAAATTTACATATTAGTCAACACCTTAACTGTCATACACAGTAAAAATGCACTTCTTTAAATGTTTGCTTAACAGATGAGAGGAAAACAGAAGTGTTAAAGAAAGGCCCCTTCACAAGTAATTAAGTTTAATATTGATGTTTCTTACTTCATTAAATGGTGGCCCCTCTAAGTACTGATGTACTTACTTCATTAAATGGCGGCCCTCTAAGTACTGATGTACTTACTTCATTAAATGGAGGCCCCTCTAAGTACTGATGTACTTACTTCATTAAATGGCGGCCCCTCTAAGTACTGATGTACTTACTTCATTAAATGGAGGCCCCTTTAAGTACTGATTCTGCCAGTAGATGTCTATTTCCACGTCGTATCCGTTACCACACACGGCCACCGTCGGTAAGATCTGATCTTGGTCCAGAATGGTGACGTATCGCGTGTCAATCCCTCGCCAGTTCTTAGAAAACAGAGCGACTGGATGCTTTCTGCCAATGTTTGACACTTCAACACCAACCATATCACCTAAACAAAATACAGCAATGTATGACAGGTTCTGAACCTCAAAGCAGCCCTGTTAAACTTAATTGAACATAACAGAGTAAACATGATAAATACCTCACACCATTTCTGAGTCTCTCTTTCCATGTTGACATTTAAGTTTTTACAACTAATTTTTAAACCTATCTGCCTCGTTTCTTCTTACAAACATTTTTGACCTGTTTTAAATTTGCCAAGACACAACTGTGCTAAAGAGTTTATGCTATATTTCTTGAATTTGCCCCCCCCCCCCCCTTTTTTAAATTTGCCCATTTGTGATAGGGCGAAAGGGGAAAAAATATCAGTGGGCAATAAAAATTTCACTGTATACAGTATTTAACATTATCATCTCTTCATAACATTCCTCCACCTCTGAGTGCATCTTTCCTTACTTCATATTTTGTGTCTCTTTCCATACCCCCATTTTCTTTTTTCCCCAAGTCCCATTTAACATTCTTACCTCTGGGTGCCTCAGTATACCCCCTCCCCCCTCCATAGTGCCTTTTTAAATCTTCCCCATAGGTGCCTCGGCACATAATAATCATCTTTTTCCTTTTGTTTTTTAACATTTTTCCCCTCTGGGTGCCTCAGTGCATACTCCTTTTCTAAATCTTACCTTACTAATTTTTTTTACCCCTCCCCCCCCCTGTGTGTCTCAGTTAAAACCAGTACTCTAGCCTGGGTGCCTCAGCAAATACTCACCCTCTCCAAATCTTTCCCCGAATGAGTGCCCCTCATGCTGTTTGTTGTAGTACATTTTTCCGTCTCTTGAGCAGTACCCTGTGGACTCTGGGACTTTTCCGGGGTGTTTGTTGAGGGGGAATTTGGAGTCAGCCAGTCCTATTGTCAGTACTGAGTCTTCATCTGAATGAGATCAAAAAAAAATATGAAGGGGTACAGAGAAAGACATAGTGATTACAGGGAGGGGAGCATTAAAGATGAAAATAAATCTACTTCTAGTTTCCAGTTTTCTATACAGGCCCTAGTAAGGGGTCAGCTGTAACAAGTCTTACTAAGTTTCCGGATTTCTATACAGAAGTATGGGCTGTTCTTCGTCAGGGGTTGTCGGAATTGGATAAGATGGATCCCCATGGCGTCTTTAGACAGATGTACACGACAATACTGCTTACTGAGATCCACCATTGCGGTTTGTTCATTGATTTCAATCTTCAACTGCTCTGACTTCCTGAACATCTCTGGCTTCAGTTCTGTAAAGTTCAAGGTCATTTATCAGGTAACCACTAAGGTCAAGGTCAGAAATCATTTATCAATAAGACAAGGATCAAGGTCATTTATCATTAAGACAAAGATCAAGGTCATTTATCAATAAGACAATGATCAAGGTCATTTATCAATAAGACAAAGATCAAGGTCATTTATCAATAAGACAAAGATCAAGGTCATTTATCAAAAGACAAAGATCAAGGTCATTTATCAATAAGACAAAGATCAAGGTCATTTATCAATAAGACAAAGATCAGGGTCATTTATCAATAAGACAAAGATCAAGGTCATTTATCAATAAGACAAAGATCAAGGTCATTTATCAATAAGACAAAGATCAAGGTCATTTATCAATAAGACAAAGATCAAGGTCATTTATCAGGCAAACACAAGGGTCAAGGTCAGCAATCATTTGTTAAAGAAGACAAGCTCAACTGACAATTATTAAAGTTATATAAATTCATAGTTAAGTGATTTTACTAAAACTTCTCATATTAAAATGCAGGAGTAAAGGGGCCTTGATATTACTTTTTTTATGTTCTTCAACCATGCCAGAATTTTTTGACCTGCCTTTAAGCATAGTTTCACCTTATCTAACTTTTTCCAGCTGTAATTGTCCCTCTACCTGACAAATAAATACACAGAGATCTATATATATATATATATATATATATACTCACGCCTTTTAAGACTGTCGTTCAGCATTAGTCGTTTGGCCTCCTCTAAATGCTCTTCAAACATTGGATCAAGATTCTCATACGTCTCAATTTTACGATTCGTTGTCACATCAACTGTTACCTTGGAACCTGAGACAACAACAAAACATTCAAGGGTGGAACATATCAAAATTAGTTTTGCTGGAAAAGTTACCTTTTTTTCAAAGTCTAATAGTTGTGTGAAGGAATGTAACTACTGCCACTCTGCTCCCAGTGTTAATACACTGTATTTTATTTCTCCTCAGAATTTATTATTTATTAAGGTTTGGGGATATTTTCTTCCCTGTCTTGTGCTTTATATTTTTGAATTACCACAGTGACTGTTGTTTTTGATGAGGCGGTAATTCTGACTTACCACTGTTGTTTCTGATGAGGTGGTAATTCTGATTTACCACTGTTGTTTTTGATGAGGTGTTTATTCTGATTTACCACTGTTGTTTTGGATGAGGTGGTAATTCTGACTTACCACTGTTGTTTTGGATGAGGTGGTAATTCTGATTTACCACTGTGTTTATTGTTTAGGTGATTCTTCTGATTTTCCACTTTGTTATCACTTTAATTTCCCCAGCTCTCATTGAAAGCACAGTAAATTTAATTTACCACTATTGTTATAAAGTGACAATTCTGACTTACCATTGTTGTTATAAGATGGTACATTGTAATTCACATTTACCACTATTGTCATGGATGAGCAGTATTTCTGACTTACAGCTTTTATAGTTATCAACGTGGTTGGATCTTTGTTTACCTTTTCCATGAGAAAACTTTGAAAGAGATAGGAGTGTTTAAATCTCACCATTGAAAACTTACTTTGACGTAAATAGGTGGTGATTAAAACTCACAAATTGATAATTTACTGCTTTGACAGAAATAGGCAGTGTTTAAAACTCACCATTTTTGTTGAGAACCACCATTTGATAACTTACTGCTTAGACAGAAATAGGGAACATTTAAAACTCACCATTTTTGTTAAGGACCACCATTGGGAAGAACCCCCCTTCGGGCTGTACTACAACTTTGGCGTACCCAATCTTGGTATCCAAGGTAACAAAAACTAGCACCAGTTGTTGTGTTTTGTCATCGTGGTCTGGTTTTTCCCGTACGTCCTTGGGGTAGTGGACTCCTATCCCCACCCTCTGTCCCTCAGAGAGTTTTACATCTGAAACAGGAATAGGTCATTCCTTGAATTTTTTTTCTTCAAAAAATTTCATCTATGAAAATTAGAACTATCCTTATGGGATAGATATTAACTGCAGGGCAATTAAAGACAAAACATAACTAATTAAAAGATCTAAAAGAAGAACTCTGTCATAGTGTAATTATGCCCCCGGATAGAAAGATCCCGGGGGTATATTGTTTTTGTCCTGTTTTTATCTTAAACATAAGATAGGCTAAGACCCCTTTTTGGGCTCTGGATTAGGGTGTCTCTTAGAAGGATACAGTACTTCATAATTATGCCCCCAGATTGAAAGATTCCGGGGTATATTGTTTTTGTCCTGTCTGTCTGTTTGTCTGTTTATCTGTTTGTCTGTTTGTATGTTTGTCTGTTTACCTGTTTGTCTGTCTGTCTGTTGTCAACTTTAACCTTGCCCATAACTTTTGAATGGTTGGAGCTATGACTTTCATATTTCACATGTGTATTCCTTGTGACAAGACCTATCTTTGGGTACCATCATATTTGACCTTTTGACCTTGACCTTGGAGTTTAACCCACTTTAACAAAATTTTATGAGACTTTAACCTTGGCCATAACTTCTGAACAGTTGGTGCTTGGGGTTTCAAACTTCACATGTGTATTCCTTATGACAAGACCTTCCTCTTAATATCAACCTCTTTGACCCTTTGACCTTGACCTAGGAGTTTGACCTACTTTTGAAAAACTTTAACCTTGGCCATAACTTCTGAACAGTTGGAGCTAGGCTTTCATACTTCACATATGTAATCCTTGTGACAAGACCTTCGTTTGGATACCAACCACTTTGACCCTTTGACCTTGACATTGGAGTTTGACCTTCTTTTGAAAAACTTTAACCTTGGCCATAACTTTGGAATGGTTGGCTTTCATACTTCACATAATTATGTAATCCTTGTGACAAGACCTTCCTTTGGATACTGACAACTTTGACCTTGACGTTTTACTTACTTTTAAAAAACTTTAACTTTTGCCATAACTTTTGAACAGTTGCAGCTAGGGCTTTCAAATTTCACAGGTATATTCCTCGAGACAAGGCCTTTTTTTGGGTACCAACATTTTTCATCTTTTGGCTTGGATTTTGACTTGCATTTGAGAAACTTTACTTCAACCTTCACCATAAGCTACCATACGGGGGCATCAGTGTTTCACAAACACATCTTGTTAAAAAGCTGTTGTCATTCCTGTTAAAAATGAGTATTGATTTTAAGTGATATATAATGTAAGATACACAGAGGTCACACAAAGGTCATAAAATTGGTCTTTTTCTGAATTTTCACATTTTTATTCAAATCTTCATCAATTTTAAAGCATATTTTGTTTCAGAAAATACAGAGCACATTAAGCTTGCCTATCTACCAAATTTATATAAATTTCATGCACAAGTATCAGATACATATTGTGTATAAAAATCTCAGAAAGGGAAGCTTTTGCTCTAAGTTCCAAAGTAAAAAGTATCTCAAATTCTATATAAAATTCTGTCAGAATTGAGGAACTTCCCTAAAATGTTTTACTTTGTCACCTTCTTATAGCCTACATGTATGTCTTGAATCAAAATTAAAGCTGATTTTAAAACAAGCATTATTCAAGGTTTTTAAATGCAAGCTATTATTATGATAATTTTAATAGTGTTTTGATTTTTAGATAAAATAAGGGCCAAATTCATTCTTTACCATACCTTGTCCTTTCCAATATTTATTCCCGATCCTCTTTTGTGTCCCTAACCTTGCTGCCATAAATTTAACAAACTTCAAACCTACACCACTTCAGGAACTTTTACACAAGGTTCATAATTTATTTTCTGGTCAAGAAGTTTATGAGAAAAATTTTAATCAGAAAAGCTCAGTTGAGCCTTTGGGTATTAATCAAAAGGAGATTCCCATTTCTTGCACATAAATGCACCTTGGGAATTATAAAGTGAATAATTTGAATCATAGATGTACGTCCATTTTCTTACTTTTTCCATCAGCAAGCAGCCTGAAGAAGTCGACAAGAGCTTTACATGTGGGCGTCGGCTTCAGTAAACTACAGGTCGCTATGCCAACTGCTGGCCCTGCCCCTGTCTCGGAAACTTTCTGGATCACTACCTCATAGTGCTCAAATTCTACAAAAAGATTCCATAAACAAAACTATAGTTCTCAACAACACACACACTAGTGTACTGAATAGATTATTAATTACACCTTTCCTTAAAAGGCAATTACTTTATGACTCATTTGGGTGTAAATATATATTGACAGTGAATTAACTATTTTCTAACTAAAGACTTTTTTTTTTACATATTTTAACATCATTCCATAGATAATAAGGATGTTCTAATGGCTCTCTGAGATAATCTTAGACTCAGTGAGATTATCTTAGGCTCAAAACAATGATTTTTACAATAGCTTGAATCTCAAGGTTTAGTGATATGTTGATATTACTGAATCAGTAAAATGATCTCGGTGAGAGAATTTATAAAGTGAGTTGATCACTGGACCCAATACAATGACTCTTAAAATGGCAAAAAAATAATCTCAAAATTCCTTGAGGCTATCTCAGTGAGGTGAATATAACATTATCAGAGATATTCTAAATAGGATTATAATTATGAAATTAATTATAGATTATCAAACAGCTTATTATATTGTCAGTGAGATGATTTTTTATAACTGAGGGAGATCAATGAACACAGGACAAGAGGATATCAGAGAGACTGTTAAAGAACCTGGTAAGATATGAATTTTTATAGGTTCTAAATAAGATATTATTATACAGTTAAAGTATATCATTGTGGGAGTTAGCAAGAGTCCAGTTCCCCAAGGCCAGGACTATTTCCCGTGGCGAAGCCGTGGGAAATAGTCCTGCTCGAGGGGAACTGGAATCTTGCTAACTGACCCACAATGATATACTTTTAACTGTTTTATTATACCGATACAAACGTAAAATTTAGAGGACTCAGATTGCGTGATTTCAAAGCAGGGATTAGCTCACTGAACTAACACACAGGGATAAGTCCATTCACATATCATACCAATATAAAAGTAAAATCTAGAGGATTACGGATAACCGGGAATTAGCTTCGAAGAAGGGATTAGCTCACTTGACTAATGCACGGGGATTAGTCCATTCATAACGATTTCTAGGGAATTAGTCCCATGTAATGATCTTATGTTATATAGGGAAAAATCAGTAGAGGTATAATAAAAGAATATAATGTGATTTTTTTACAATGGTCTTGGAACTTGGTGAGATATTTACCTCTACATAGTGAGATGGGGCTCAGTATCTTACCCTAACCCTAACCCCGATTGTATAAGGATTTAGTGAGATTTTGTGAGATGATCCTGGGACTCATTGAGATATTTGCCTCACAGTGAGGAAGGGCTCTGTATTGTACCCTGGTTGTATATCAAGGATTTAGTGAGATTTTGTCAGATGACCCTGAGATGTGGTGAGATATTTACCTCATAGTGAGGAAGCACTCTGTGCTGTACCCTGGTTGTATAAGGATTTAGTGAGATTTGTGAGATGATCCTGAGACATGGTGAGATATTAACCTCTACTTAGTGACATGGGGCTCAGTATCTAACCCTGGTTTTATTAGGATTTAGTGAGATTTGTGAAATGATCCTGAGACACAGTGAGATATTTACCTCTACAAAGAGATGTGGTGCTCTGTATTGTACCCAGGTTGTATTAGGATTTAGTGAGATTTTGTGAGATGATCCTGGTACTCGGTGAGATATTTACCTCTACAAAGAGATGTGGGGCTCTGTATTGTACCCTGGTTGTATTAGGATTTAGTGAGATTTTCTGAGACAAGGTGAGATATTTACCTCTACAAAAGAGATGTGGTGCTCTGTATTGTACCCTGGTTCTATTAGGATTTAGTGAGATTTTGTGAGATGACCCTGAGATGCTGTAAGATATTTACCTCTACAAAGAGATGTGGGGCTCTGTATTGTACCCTGGTTTTCTGTGTCTGGGTTAAAAACAAACATGTTGTCAGCCAAGTTGTAGCTCACACCAGGGGAGGTAATCCAATGAATCATGTTTTTCTGTAAAGAGTTACATCCCTTAGTACATAAGTTTTTGAAAATATAAAGACATTGATTTTTAGAAGATAATTTTCCTATCAATGTTGATGTTCAATGTCACAAAAAAGTACATGAAGGAAGGTTTTGATTCCTGATTTTAAATCTGATTAGTCTGAGTCTAAATATTTACTGACATCTGAAAACTGTGGCTTCACCATCACTGCCTGGGGCCACATAATTCCAAGGTCAATTGGTCCATTCTCCAGTGTGATTGTTGGTAAAAACTTTTTGTGGTCAGGTTCAAAATGAAACCTACAATTTAAATTAATCAATTCAAAAAACCAGAAATAAAAAAAAACAACAATCAAACAAAAAATTAGGTTTTCCTTTTTTCACACATCAGCAAGAACCTTAAAAATTATTCTTCATGATTTAACAACAAAATATCTAATTAATTTTCTAATATGTCCTACGGTGAAACCGTAATAGGGCGAGCACAGTTCATTTTTGTACACACACCTTCTCAAATGTCGTTTTACATTCTGATTATTATACTTTTCAGTAAACTCTTTTAGCGTGCGTTTACTGTGTATCGTACAGGGAAGTTCATCTTTTTACAACAGATATTGAAATATATATTCTCTAACATTGCAGACTCCCCATGCATCGGGATCGAGATTCCTAACTTCTCGGATTTTTCCGACAAAATTGGAAATACCCGAGTCTTTGAAGTGATGAAAATATGATGTCACATACACAGTCATGTTTACTGAGGACACAAACGATAGTTTTGTGGGCAATTGTGGCATGGAAATTGCATCAAATCGCCGTTTGTAATTTTTTTCAAGTAAGTTGTCGCTATGCTTAAGCCACTATGTTGCTATGCACCACAAAGGATTATTGGGAGTTTGGAATTCTTTCATGTGGACTGATAAAAATTTCTCTGAACAAGGCATATTTCAACCCGAATTTCCTCCGTTCGTATAGGTTGATTATGGAGCTCGCTATGCAAGCAGTGCTTCTCGCCGCCTCACTGCGCTTGCTATAAATTATTATAAAAGAATGAACTAGCAGATTTTGTTTCAGTGTCCATACACAGATTTTGTTTTAAAGAGTAAAGATTTAAGTTTAAAGAGAACATCTATAGATTTTGTTGTAAAGAGCTCATCTACAGATTTCGTTGTCTAATTAACAGATTTTGTTGTCTAATTAACAAAGAAATTACACCTTGTAGCAACAGGTTGTCCATTCTTGATAAAAATCACAGTGGACATCTGCTTCCCAAAATGGCTGACAAAAACTCCAAAGACATCACCTAAAAATGGAGAAAAGGAGAGAAGCTACTCAGGTTCAGTGAAATTTTTAGGCAACATTACATGTCAACTCATGATATTTTGGTAATTAATTGATTAATTAATTAATTGGTAATTAATCAGGTAACAGAAATTTTCTTCTTTTATTGATGAAAATTACCGAATTTCATGAACAACTGTGATAAGGACTCCGAGAGATTTAATAATGAATTTTTATAATATATTACATTCAACATATTTCTTGCTACTGAGAACAGACCTATGCTGTACTTCGCTCCGTACGTATTTGCGATTTCGTTGTGCGAGGTTCGACAAATGCCATCACTGCTGTATCCCACCGTATTGATCCAGTGACCCGGCGTCCCGTCCTCCGCTATGTCAGGACCAGCAATCCCTATACTGATCTTACTGTTGTTAGCTACAATAAACAACATAGCTATGTCAGGACCCGCAATCCCTATACTGATCCTACTGTTGTTAGCTACAATAAACAACATAGCTATGTCAGGACCCGCAATCCCTATACTGATCTTACTGTTGTTAGCTACAATAAACAACATAGCTATGTCAGGACCTGCAATCCCTATACTGATCTTACTGTTGTTAGCTACAATAATAACATAGCTATGTCAGGACCCACAATCCCTATACTGATCTTACTGTTGTTAGCTACATTAAACAACATAGCTATGTCAGGACCCTCAATCCCTATACTGATCTTACTGTTGTTAGCTACATTAAACAATATAGCTATGTCAGGACCCGCAATCCCTATACTGATCTTACTGTTGTTAGCTACTGTACAATAGACAACACAGCTATGTCATCTAAGAATATAATTTTGATTAGACTGTAGCTACATGCCAATTCTTTAGACAGATGGATGGTAAAGAGCCCCCCCCCCCTTAAAAAAATCATATATTCATTATGTAGATTTTAAAGTACCCACTATGTATATATACACTCATTACAGCTGTCAGTCCCCCCTATACCTACACAGAGCCCGAATCTGAGCAAAGAAGAATGGCTTGTCTCTGGTCAGTCCCCCGTATACCTACATAAAGCTCTAATCTGAGCAAAGAAGAATGCCTTGTCTCTGGTCAGTACCCCCCTATACCTACACAGAGCTCTAATCTGAGCAAAGAAGAATGGCTTGTCTCTGGTCAGTCCCCCCTATACCTACACAGAGCTCTAATCTGAGCAAAAACGGCTCATCTCTGGACAGTACCCCCAGGCCCCCTATACCTACACAGAGCTCTAATATGAGCAAAAAAGAATGGCTTGTCTCTGCTCAGTACCCCCCTATACCTACACAGAGCCTGAATCTGAGCAAAGAAGAATGGCTTGTCTCTGGGCAGTCCCCCCTATACCTACACAGAGCTCTAATCTGAGCAAAGAAGAACGGCTTGTCTCTGGGCAGTCCCCCCTATACCTACACAGAGCTCTAATCTGAGCAAAGAAGAACGGCTTGTCTCTGGTCAGTACCCCCTATACCTACACAGAGCTCTAATCTGAGCAAAGAAGAACGGCTCGTCTCTGGACAGTACCCCCCTATACCTACACAGAGCCTGAATCTGAGCAAAGAAGAATGGCTTGTCTCTGGGCAGTCCCCCCTATACCTACACAGAGCTCTAATCTGAGCAAAGAAGAACGGCTTGTCTCTGGTCAGTCCCCACTCTACCTACACAGAGCTCTAATCTGAGCAAAGAAGAATGGCTTGTCTCTGGTCAGTACCCCCCTATACCTACACAGAGCTCTAATCTGAGCAAACAAAAAATGGCTTGTCTCTGGTCAGTCCCCCCCCCCCCCCCCCCCATACCTAAACAGAGCTCGAATCTGAGCAAAGAAGAATGGCTTGTCTCTGGGCAGTCCCCCTATACCTACACAGAGCTCGAATCTGAGCAAAGAAGAATGGCTTGTCTCTGGTCATCCCCCCCCCCATACCTACACAGAACTCTAATTTGAGCAAAGAAGAATGGCTTGTCTCTGGTCAGTCCCCCTACACCTACACAGAGACAAAATCTGAGCAAAGAAGAATGGCTTGTCTCTGGTCAGTACCCCCTTATACCTACAAAGAGCTCTAATCTGAGCAATGAAGAATGGCTTGTCTCTGGTCACTCCTTCCCATACCTACACAGAGCTTTAATCTGAGCAAAGAAGAATGGCTTGTCTCTGGTCAGTCCCCCCTATACCTACACAGAGCTCTAATCGAGCAAAGAAGAATGGCTTGTCTCTGGTCAGTCCCCCCTATACCTACACAGAGCTCTAATCTGAGCAAAGAAGAACGGCTTGTCTCTGGTCAGAGGCTCGAGACACTGTAGGAAGTTACTGGTTTCTGAGAACTGCTTCAGCTGGACATCTGAGATCTGACCAGGTATTGGAGGATGGTCAGTGAACAGGATGTCCCCCGCACTTCTAAACTGACCAGGCATAGTGACCTAAAATGAACAGGTACTAAAATGATATTGTTAAGCTTTTCAAACATAAAAAAAAAATAAATAAAATGGTTATTTTACCAGCTTTCAAATGCACTTAAATTAAAAAAAAAAAACATAACATTTTGTTCTTTGTTCTTCATTTTAACAAAGCCTGAAATAGCCTAAATGAATAAATAAAACAAATCATAAACAAAGATGAGGAAACATGTTACAGTATTAAGAGTAGCTATTAGTTATCATGGTTATAGATAGGGAAATATGGGACCATTAGTTATATCATATAGCTCAATCTGAAAAGCATTTGATTTTAAAGGTTCATGGCACATTGTGGACAGCCCAGCTAATTGGTCATATTGCTGCATAACTGCAAAAAAGCCACATGGTGAGTGGTATTTTGAGTCTCAATCAAAGTGCAAGATTTCTTAGGTCTTTTATTTACATGTTAGACATGGATTTGGGGAGAGGGCAGTGATTTAGTAGGATTAAAAATGATCACACCACTCTCCTTTGCAGAGTTGTTTATTCCTTTATCAGACATGTCGACCACTGCAATGAGCTTGCGTCAAGATTTTTAACATAAAGTAAAAAAACATGGTATTCCAAAGATTATTTCAAATGAAAGTAATAGTTCTCAATTTATTTAGTAAATGTCTATCTTAAATGATTATGACAAACATTAATGCAGACATTCAATTATAATTAATTAAAACAAACACACATACTATTTTTTGTGCTTTAGCTTATCACCGTCAAATACACTAGGAATTGACAGAGGTAAATGTAAGAGCCAATGGTAGAGAGTGTGATTACACATGTTAATCGTCATGGTTTCCCTCCCCCATCCCACAAAGGCACAAGCTTAGGAAACACATGTATATACAGAATCAGTCACAGTTCTAACTCATTCTTTAGGGGAAAAAATATCTGACAGATTTTAACTTACCTGAAAGTGCTTCACTTTAGTTCAGATAATGTTGCCAGTTCACAATCTCTTTCTCTTTCTGTCACAAAACAAAAGAAGTCCCCCTTTCGGCTCACTGCACATCATCGAGTAGAAATCTAGCAACTAACGCACATGTGTATGAACCGCCAAGTTTGTCGCCTTTTAACTAACTTAACAGCAGCTATTAAAACGCTTTCACAGCAATTATTTGTACATTACTATTAGCTCATCAGTCTTTTGTCATTTTTATTACAACCTTCGCCTTTAAACTTTACAAGACACTTGTAAAAATAATCATGTTTATTGTTGCTACTATGCTACCGGAAGTAAATATCACAATAAATTTAGAATCGACTTCTTAGAAGATATAATTCCGGAAAAGAATTTCTCAAATATCAATGTTTTATCCTAAATATGCTTATATACATCTGATAAACAATAATTGTTCAGAATAGTTAAGTGTAACCTGAGACATTAGAAATAACATTGTTATTTATCATACATGTATTTATGTCTCTGGTACTACATGTAACCAAGGCCACAGGAATGGAGGAGGGGGGCAGGGGGCGTGTCCCCCCTCAATAATTTTGCCGATATATTGTGGTAAACTATGGAAAACATAGTTACTTTATGCTCGCCCCCCCCCCCCTCAATATTATAATATTAATATCGTCTGATGACCTCTTGTTATCAAGGAAATTTTGCTTGGTAGTGCCCCCCCCCACCCTCCCTAATTGAAAATGTTTGGTGTCTTTGGTTGTGACTGTCCCTCCCCCATCCCCACCCCCGGCCAAAATGAAATTGTTTCCTACGGGCCTGTTAACTGCAACTAGACAAGCTGCATTTTCCATTTTCCTGGAAACATTTTGAATTGACTTTCAATATATTCCAATTCGTGGTTGTTACATCATTCGCAGAATTGCAAAATTTATTAATTTTCTTTTAAAAATACAACTTCGAAAGAAAAATAAATGAAATTCTAGAAAGTCACAAAAAGTAATGCTCTTCAAATTAAGTCAAACTAAATTAAGTAGCATCAGGCCCGTAACACGCGAGGCCCCGCCCCCCCCCCCCCCACTTTTTTCTGAGCATAGTATGTTGCTATAGTAAATTTTCATTTAGATGAAGGTTGCCCCACCCTTCCCCACTTTTTGTTTCTATAAGGTCGAACTCTGGCAAATTCCAAGATTTTGGGCTGTTAAATAGATTCTTTTTAACTTTTCAGATTATCAGATTATATTTAAAGTCCCCCTCCACTTTTTGGACAGCTTTTTTTTTTTTTTTTTTTTTTTTTTTTTTTTTTTTTTTTTGCTTTTCAGATCTTTTTGAGAGGTCAGCCCCCCCCCCCCCCCAATTTTGAAAATGTTTCTACGGACTTGAACATAACCAGCACGGCAATATGACGTTTGCCAAATTATGGTGTTATTTGTAACGTATAACAGTCCCCACCTAGTTATCCCTTTTATGCTAGAATTCTTGGATCCACCAGTCAGTAGAACTTGTGTTAATCCACGTATTGCTAAACCCATTTCAAAAATACTTTTAAATTGAAAGTCGCTTTTCTATACTGCATTGACGGTATTTAATGCAATTCAAATTGTTGTATTTTCAATGCTTGACAGTATTGTGAGATTTTTACCTTGATAGCTTTTAAATAGAGAGTGGTATCGTCATGGTAGGGCGTTAAGGCTGTATGTCTGGTCGACTCGGGTCAAGCGATCCTTTTATGGACCATATTCATAAAAGTTAATTATTTTGTTATAGATAAACAATACACAAATCAAAAAATCCCTGTATGTGACAGTAATGGATAGAAACGCGGGGTACTAACTGAGGGAAAAACACAGTGTGTAAATTATTAGACTCCCTCCTTCTTCTATTCTATTGTTGTGTTTAAAAAATGTCTTTCTTTTTTTTTTTTTTTTTTTGATATCTAATCCCGAGAAAATTGGCAAATAAGAAAGAAACTATGTAAAGTCAACCAAATTCAATCAAACCTGACGAAATACAGACAAAACCCTTTCCGTGCCCTGCCTAATGAGGAAAAGAATTCATAATGTGAGATAAACAGACGTTCAGTATATACTTTCTTGTGTCGGAAGAGACATTTATAACCTCGGCATATCAGGAAAGGAGAAATGATGACGCAAATCATCACGTGACATCAACAATGTGAGTATTACTGTGTATTTGATAAGGGACAGGTCACGTGGGAGGTCGTAATTATGGGTATATGAGTATATCAAGGAATGGAAGGAATGAAGGGGTGCATTGAATACGACCACGTACATCCCCTTAAGCAAAAATTCGAAAATATCATTTTTAAAACAAACTATATTTGTTAATTATCTTCTAGATTTTATAAAATCAGTATCGAAATCAAAAGGAGTTCAAAAATGCACAAAACACAACATTATTTCTTGTTTTTAAATTTATATTGATAACTGGAAAGGATATACACGTATATATAATATTGATAAGGAAGATTGGAAAGGGAAGTTGATAAATTTAGGGTCCTGGGCACTTATACTTCTAGGGTAATAAAGTAGGGCATTGGGGCATACTAAAGGAGGGTATTGGAATACTGATACTTATCACTATGGAATATCTACTACATGTTATAACCCACTGATACTTATCACTCTGGAATATCTACTACATGTTATAACCCACTGATACTTATCACTCTGGAATATCTACTACATGTTATGACCCACTGATACTTATCATTCTGGAATATCTACTACATGTCATGACCCACTGATACTTATCACTCTGGAATATCTACTACATGTCATGACCCACTGATACTTATCACTCTGGAATATCTACTACATGTCATGACCCACTGATACTTATCACTCTGGAATATCTACTACATGTCATGACCCACTGATACTTATCACTCTGGAATATCTACTACATGTTATGACCCACTGATACTTATCACTCTGGAATATCTACTACATGTTATGACCCACTGATACTTATCACTCTGGAATATCTACTACATGTTGTGACCCGTAGGTGTGTTTGTTGTGAGAGGTTGGAATTCAGTTTCAAGGTCACATTCATAGAAATGTCTTTTTCATTGCAAACCTTTATACAGAAGAGATTATAAAGAAGTTCTGATATAGGACAGTGGGACCTTAGGATATTGATGACTCTGAGCCAATTTCGTGGTCACAAAGTTCCATTAAGTTTTTTCTTCTGTACAATTACTTCGTATCAGCATAGATTTTCATAGTTGGCACAGGTTGTTTGTAACTAGCGGAAAAAAATTCAGGACTGTACCATAAACTAATTACATTCAGATTGTACCATAAACTAATCACATTCAGCACCAAATTCAAAAAGCTCACACCATTCTTGTGAATTAATTGACCCCCGGCCCCCACTCACACACTCCACTCCACTCCACTCCACTCCACCCCCCACCCCCCGCATACACACAATACACACACCAAAAAAAAAAACCCAGACAAAATATAAAAAATAGAGAAAAAACATGTACACTGTCAATTCTTCCAGAGAAATAATTAATCGGAATAAATCCTGCGTTATGTGTAGTGAAAGGCACTGTTTAGTCACCAGTAGTTTCCGTTGGAATCCCTGTAATAATGACGAACACTTACTATTAATATAGATTTTTACTGCACTGGAAAATTAAGTGCAGTTGTGGATCGCGATTAAAAGAGTTGTACAAACATTTTCTGTTGTTGTCGATCTCCATTAATATGGTGAATGAACTGAATTTATGGCTCCTAAACACAATGGAATATTTCACAATTTAGTCGAGGCTCTTTTTCTTTCTTGAATCTAAATACCTCTAGAAATAGAATTAATAGAGAATCAAGTTACGTGATGTTATGCAGAAAAAAAAACTTTAGTACATATAAGAGAGAGAGAGAGAGAGAGAGATTCTTTAAATATAGAAGCCGATGATTGATATAGTGGAAATTCAGATATTGTATAATTTCTCAATTAGCATTATTTAAAACATGGTATATATGCTGACATCATGAATGATTAACGGTGGTATAGATACGATAAACAGAGAAGAATTCAATGGACGGGGTGGTTTTCTTACGGTTCATTAAACCGTTATTTTCTCCTGACCCCGCCTCCTCTTTCTATCTGTACAATACACAGGAACAATACCGTATAACAGGGTCGATTTCATGCCAGCGAGAATTAAACAGAGGCGAACTTTTAATTTTCATAAAAATTCATTAGCTGTATAAACAGAGCCGGCCTTTTAACACGGGGTAAGGGATTAAGTGTCGGTCGTGAAGTGTGAGATCTCGTTATTGGTGATCGAGGGCCGGTGGAGAGGGCTCTCGTACTGGATTATGTCCCTTGTAGAAATACTTGGACGAGAGAACCATATAAATAAGTTCTTATATAGAATTGTGTTTTACTCCTGACTGAAGATCGATAGAGTCTCGGATTTGTGATCATCAATAATCTGAAGCGATTTGTTTTGATTGAGTGTTCATTACCAGGGAAACAGACATACATACGGACGGAGATACACAAAATATACTGACAGACAGACTAATTCATACCAGATTTTACATGGTTGCATCTGTTCTAAAAAGGTCTTTGGAAATTTTATGTACGCATTTGACGGGACTCCGAGAGAGAGGATCGTGATGTATTTGAAAGTTTTTGGATTAATTTGAGACACCTGGGGAATAATTATTTAAGGTAAAATCAAGGTGACGCTTTGTCTATATACTTATTGATTACAATGTTAGACCAGACTTTATAAACAATTAGGAATGTGTATTCAGACCTCGGGGATTAAGATCTTTAGATGAGAAGTTACTGGTCTGTTATGAGCGTTAAGCTGCTTATGTTTGTATAGACATAGCAGATTATAGCTACTGTTTATTAATCAATTTAGATTGAACAACCTGGAGATATAATTCCTAAAATAAATAAAACTTCAACATTTATTACGAAGTTAAGAATCTGTGAGATAACTTGCATATGCTTCTTAAACCTTATTTCACCATTATTTTTTTCTTCTAGATTCAACAAACACTTTCCCAGCTTTTAACAGTTTCCACCGTTACTTGTTTCCGTAGATTTTTGAATTTTCTTATAAGTGTGTCAACAATAGTTGAAGAAGATTTCCAAAAAAAAAAATTCTTAAAATATTCAAAGAATGTTATCATTTTCTTAATTATTTTTAAAAGAAAATTGTTTCCAACTTTGAATGAAGCACTGAGCATGCATGTGTGTTCTATAACAACCACTGCTACATCTGGAAGATGTTGGAAGGGGAGTTATAATTGTTTATGTACACAACAAACGGCCAACTAAAAACTAAAAACAAAAATCGATTTTCGTTGAGGATCGACATAAATAACATTGACTTTGTTCATTGAAATCGACTTTCTCTGTAGTGATCAGATCAATAAACATTCTACATAACTGCTTAAATTAGAGCCATATATAAACCTTCTACATAACTGTTTAAATTAGAGCTATATATAAGCGTTCTACATAACTGCTTAAATTAGAGCTATATATAAACCTTCTACATAACTGCTTAAATTAGAGCTATATATAAACCTTCTACATAACTGCTTAAATTAGAGCTATGTACAAACGTTCTACATAACTGCTTAAATTAGAGCTATATATACTGCTTAAATTAGAGCTATATACAAACGTTCTACATAACTGCTTAAATTAGAGCTATATATAAATGTTAAATAAAAGAACTTAATGGAGACGGACAAAAAATTAACTCAGTTAACAGCTGTACATGGGGGGGGGGGCAAAAATTTAGCTCAAATAAGTACAGGAAGGAGGGGGGCAGAAATTCAGCTCGCTTAGTACATGCAGGAAGGGGGGGGGGCAAAAGTTTAGCTCAGTTAACAGTACAGGATGGGGATGGGGCAAATATTCAACTCGTTTAACGGTACACTCGAGGTGGGATGGGTTTTTTTTTCATAGGAAGAAAATCCTAATGTAAACTTTAATTATGTTTAAGATGTGTTTTGCCCGGAGAGTACTTGTATAGGCAACATGCACTCGGGATAGAACTTATCGATCTATTGAACAAATGTCAAACAGAAGTCAGTTAATAGAATAATTATGTGTAGGCAAGGATTCCAGGTATATTAGATATATATATGGATGCAAGTTTAACTTCATGAAAATCAGTAGGCCCTACAAAATAAAATTAAAACCTTGATTAACTAAATAAAACGGAGAGAGAGAGAGAGAGAGAGAGAGAGAGAGAGATTCTCCTAGCGCGAGGTTACAAACCTTTACCTAAGAATTCGACAACTGGGGATAGATTTACCTGGGATTAAAATTCAATATAACAATGATTTTGATTTCACGAATCATCTCACTATCGCCATTGAATCCTACCTAGTAAATCCTACATCGATACATGTTAAAGAATACTGCTTTTTTATACCAATAATAAAATTCGTGCTCTTTGGAATTCAATAATCTTCCTGCATAATTATTACCGTGGAAAAGGTTCAGTGATTCAACGAACAGTGAACTGAAAATGACAAAGATGGTTAATCACTCTTTTCTTTGCACGAAACCAGTGTCAATGTTTTGAAATCTTAAAAAGAATCACCCACAGACAACAAATTATAAAGAATAAAAAAGAAAGCGTAATTTACTTATCATAGGGTGCTTAGCAGCAGAAGACGAAGCGATCAGTTTGCTGTCTGCCTGTCTGTCTGTTAGACCAAAATACACTATACATTTCTTAAGCACCGTAAAGGGCAGTGTTTATATATATATATTTCACACATGCATAGTTTGACAATTGAGCTGGACTCTTAATTTGGCTTTGAATTTGACCTTTGACATCCTTTTAAAAACTCCATGTATTTCGTTATTTCTATACATGTACTCTGTATCTTTTGAACCATGAGTAAATGATTTACAGAGTAAATATAAAAGCTAAGACTGCTTTAATTCTAAATTAATTTTTGAGAACAATGTGGATCAGAGGTCAAGGTCAGTGACTCAAATTTTTCGAATGATGTAAAAAAAAAAAAAAAAAAAAAAAAAAAAAAAAAAAAAAAAAAAACAGAGCATTTTATCAGAATTCTACCTCTTGCAAAATTTCATAAAAATCTAGGCTTCTAGAACTCTTGAATTCATTTTAACCTCAATTCACTCTATGTCGTTTGAACCATAAAAAAAAAATAAAATTAAAATTAAAAAACAATAGGCATGACAGTGGACGAATTTCACATTCGTAGGAGTTATCTCTCGTTGAAGAAGTTTTAGCTTACACACATTTGTAACCTCTAACATAATTAAATAAAAAACAAAGCTTCAATACATCTGATACGAATGTCGTCGAATGCATTATTTCTCGTAATGAACAGGTCCACTAATCCTGGCGCGTCCATTACAAGCTGATTTTTATCTTACTACTGTTTACATTTAATAACAGTCCTATCAAATTAATCCTCTGTTTGCACCTTAAAATTTTAAATTTGGAAGCTCACAATATTAAGATTATTACTGCACCATAATCATATTAATCAATATACGAACAATTTTGCGAAAGTATATGTGTGTTTTTGCTTGTTTTAGGTCGGTTCGTGTTCGGCAAGACTCTTCAAGTAACGTTGAAGTCTTAAGTGTCCCGGTGTCTCGTGACCAGGCTCTTTTGACTACCCCGAACTATCTGTACCAGAGCACCGGATCTTCTGCCCCAGTACTTTTGGACTACGATCGCTTTGTGTCCAATGTGGAAGATAAAATCATGACAGACCAGGACTCGGCCCGCTCTCGGTACGATGCAGCGTACCTTTTGTACAAGAGCAACCCAGCTATGTTCGAAAATATTCCAGACTTCACAAATCCTAGAAATGTGTACTCACTGATCAGCAAACGGCGCACCAAATCGTATGATGATGTATCAACTGTGTCAAGGTCAGTTGATTCCGTGACGTCAGGTTTTCCGCGAATTTCTCGCACAACGAGCATGCGCGATTTACGGCGGGCTGCTGGGTTGCGCACTGTATCGAGGAAGGGTCGTCATCACAGCAGTCAGGACCTCAGTTCTCTGACTCTAAAGGAACGAAAAGACCCGAGTATCACAGCGCTCTTCATCAACGCCCCCTACCTCAATCTGAAAGACCTTGATCATCTACCGGAAGCAGATGTACCAAGAGCGACTCGAACAGTATTTCCCGCCATCTCATCGAAGACCCATGCTCTGAAAAAAGTTCCACCATTCAAACTGTCAGATGATGACAATAGTTTCTCTCTTCCACGTATCCCATCGGATCTCGGGGAAACGTTGGCATATGGAACTAACGGAGAAGAGCGTGCTGACGTCATCAAGAAGCGGATTATCCATCATGATGGTAACTCATCGGTGACAGTGGAAAATAAACTTAACAAGTGGTTCTCAGAAATGCCTGCTGACGTGAAAGAGAGAGCAGACAATATGGCCACTGAAGAAGAGACTCGACAAAGTGAATGTGACTCTGTTCAGAAGAGAATTTCTAGAAAATCTCCAAAGGAGCGAGTGCACTTACCCGTGCTTAAACCAATTAACACAATACCCAACCAGTTCCTGGAACTCAGAGAAAATGTGACTCGACCCATCAGACGTGACGTCACAATCGACAGAGAACAGTACAAACTAAAACAACGTTCCATGCTGCAGCTGAAAATGTTAGACATGGACGAAAATATCCGCCCCGAGCGTCAAAGGACGCATAATGAAACCGAAGTGCAAGTGTACTCATATAATGCCGAAAAATTTCATCCCCAAGAACAGAAAACTACACTAAAGGACCTCGTTAACGCCAAAAAACAAGATGGCGACGGAATTAAGATTGTTAGTATTGACGAGTTTGCAGTGGAGGCTTATGAAATTCACCCAAACGACAAGTTTAACTTTGCCAAACAATCCAACGATTTTCACCTTGGAACATCTGCCTTATCTCGAGCACGCACGTCCATGGATTTATCGACGAGACAGCGCAACAGTCTTTATAACACGCCCACCTTCAGTTTTTACCAAGATGAACAGATTGAGAAAAAGGCCAAACTCAGTGACCAACCGCTTAATCGAGCTCTAACGGTGGTAAAGATCGAAAAGCCAAGGGAAGGAACCAAGAGCGACCTTACTGGTCCAGAACACAGAGAACTGGCATCCTCAGGTAATTAAATAAATTACTGTTTTACCTCTGTAAAATAAAATGCTTGAGTTTTTTCATTAGATCGACTTTTAGCTTTGTATGCTTTACTATTGCTTTGTTATCAACACAGGGTCTCATTCCTCGGTTAGCATTAGGAATGGCCGAAGCGCAAGGCCACCTACAAGAAGCACAAGTTTAGAACCAATCAAAACAGAAGCTAAAAAGGAACTGTTGAAATTTAAGAGACTAGACGTGTTTGGAGATGGCGATCCCCCAGTGTCGGCTCATGTGGCTGTAGTAGATAAACCACTTGTGAAGTTGGACCTGCGTCGTTCGCCCCCTCAGTGGCATAGGTCCCCAGAAACCTTTTCTAATCCTCCGCTCCCATTGATTCACCGCGATATAAAAACGGAACTTCCCGCTATGACGTTTCAGTTTTCTACTGGCGAAGTTATTATCTCCAGAAACGCGGCAAATGCTTTAAGTCCCCCACGTGATCATCAACGTCACAGTTTCTATCCAAGTCGAGGCCCTCTTAAACATTCAAGTTCCACCACACCAACTCTCCCGCGTTCTGAATCGTCCTCGGTGCAGGTTGAGCGGACGAATCAGCCTCCCGCAAGGTCAGTCTCAGATGACGCTTCAACTGACTGTACCATGACACCTGACTTTCGGAACATCTCAGAGTTCAACCTAACGGGACGAGGAAGACCGCGGGGACGCCTATGGGACTTTGATGGCGACATTCCTCACCCAGAAAGTCTGCTTGGATCTAGGAAAAATACAATCGAGGAAATTCCAGAGGAAACAATGGATCAGCTTTCGCCTGATCCCCCGGTATCTAAAACCCCGAAACAAATGAAAGTACCCGACATACATGACAATCCATCAGCAAGCTCCCCTAAACAGAGTCCGAACACTACGCCATCAGATCAAATTCCATCTCCTGTCGAAGCAAATGAACAAGCAAAAGAAGTGAATACGTCTGAAGAGGTACACAATTTACAGTCTGAATCACCATGCAAAAATTTGGCGGATCCAAGTATTAAAAATGAGGCACAACCGACGTCTTCTCCACCAGCAACACTGAAAGAAGACACTAAAGAAGAGAAAGGTGGAGAAAAGAAAGAAGTACAAGAGCTGGAGAAGGAAGAAAGAAGAGTGGAAGACGGGGTCAAGGAAGAGAAACAAGAAAAGACAGAGACACATGAAGTGAGAGATAAAAATTCCAAAAGAGATGTTGCGACGTCAGCGACGTCCTTAATTGAGGCGAACGCTAAACGACAGACTGCCTCCAGCAAGAACACTGACCGTTCTACAGACTCCATCACTGAGGTGTTTGGGAAATAAAATTACACAGTGCTGAAGACTGCCGTTAACCGTGACGATTTAGAGAGTGTACTGCCGGCCTTGCTATGCAAGTTGTAGTATTTACCATATCCGCTTGAGATATTCCGTGTAAAAAGTTTTACGAACAGTACATGATTAAAAAGTATTTACAAACGTTATTCAGTATAAAATACATGTATATTGTTAACTTAATTTTGAAGAACGTAGAATTTGAAAAAAAATAATAATAAGAATTCTCCATGTTAGCAGTTAAGGATAGTCAGTATCATTGTTTTATTGACCTTGACACATTGTTTTATTGACCTTGACCCATTGTGCTGATCACTCATTGATCTCAGTCATCCAATGTTAAACGTTTACATTCCGATCAAAAAGAAGTATCCTTTCAAATCCAGTACTGACTTAGTCTCGTCACCAATCATCGTCTGTATTTGTGATCACGTGATCATTTATGTTGTTATGTGTTTTACATTTTTATAGACCTACTTGGTGCCAATGTTGTTGTTGAATAAATCATTTTTATCACACAATATAGGAAAGTTTACCTAGTTCGATAAACAAAGTGTGAGACTTCAGACACAAGGACAGTCAATGAGTGAAAACATAAACATCATACCAACGCCAATGGCGAAGGTTATATGTGTCGAAGAAAAACGTATGAAGCAAAATAGGGTACACTGTCTGAGAGAAACGTTTTAAATATATCACTTACTGAACTTTACAGAGATCATTTATTGAAACTTTTATGTAGTATTCAAAAAATGTTAATTTGGTGCATGTCAGTTTTTTACTTCATAATACTAGAGAAACAAAAAAAAAATTATAAAAAATGTTTGCGTTTTTCTGGGACAGTCCTCGTGAAATCAATAATATAGTACTTCATAACGGTAAAAGTACTGATCATAGAGGTGGGAATATAATATTATATAAATACTGCATGTAGTTGAGTGTAACATTGAAAATTTTCACCCCAAGAAAACCATTGTCAACAGAGGCGCAGCCGAGGTTGACAAAGGTTTTTTGGGGGTGAAAATTTTCAATGTTACACTCAACTACATGCAGTATTTAATATATAATGTGTCATTGGTCAATTTTTGAGGAATTTACCTTTTTATAACCAAGATTTAAAGCAGAAATATGCTATAGATTACCCCCACCCCCGGGTGAGCTTAGCAGCTCCATCATAGTTTACTGGGACATTAAAGGAAAGATTGTTTATGACATGGGGTATTATATCCTAGACCAAGGTTATCTGGACAAGAGCAAGGTCAGTCATTGACAGAATATATATATATATATATATATATAAGTAAATTTTTAGTACGAAACGATCTTAAAAATATTCAGAGAGGATTAAACTTAAATTGCTATTTTAAAAATATTCCGAAAGAAACATTTTCTTGTATATTTTCATCATATAAAGATCTGATGTAGATCGATGACTTAAAAACCATTTTAACAATCTTTACAGACTCTGCCTTACCATGCTTACGGAATATCTAGAGCTTCTTGTTCAATTTAACCCCGAGGGCAGACTTCTTGTGAACCTATATAAATAAAAGATCCTGTGGAACCTACATAATTATGTAGATAGGCTTTCTGCGAAATCGTAAATAATAACCTAGTGACCTAAGCCTGTTTATTCTTTAAAGTAGGAAGGAATTCTGTGATTCTGTTGTTTTAAAATTCAGTAAATGGATAATGGATGTATTATTTGTTTCCTTGAACAATGACTAGAAGTGGGTTTAAACAAAATAACTCAGAATTCGGAACTTGTACCGGGAATGATACTTAAATTGTTTTGCATATTGAGAAAGGGGTTGTTTTAAAAATTAAAAAAAAAATGAATTGATTCGGTTGTTACATGTATTCATTGTTTAAAATTTTGAATTCAATGCAATCTTTGTTAAGTACTTAAGTTCTGGGTGTAGTAAATCTGAAGAAGATTGAGACAGCTGGTTCTTATCCATCAATGGGAACCTAGGGGAGAAACACGGTGCAAGTAGTATCAAGTCCACACCTCTAGATGAGAAAGAAAATTTAAGTACGATATACTTAATGATGCATATAATATATATGAGTGATATACCCTCAGACATAGCTGTTCATCATTAACTCAGACAGAGTAAAATGAAAAACTTTATATCCCTTGTAAGAACCTGATCATAACACCAAAACTGAACTGATTTCTGCTTCGTCCTAGCCAGTGTACTTAGGTGAGGGATATGCCCCATGGGCCTCTTGTTTTTGTTTTTTTTTAAATAGAAAATGCTCATTGAAAGGCTAATGTAGTAATGTATGAAGAAATTCGGTTGTGAAAAACTAAACTAACCTATTAATAAATTGTTTGACTATGTAAACGTACGTTATAACACATGGCCGTAGGAACCGGGGGGGGGGGGGCAATAATTTCTCCGATATATGAAATACTATTTAAAAAAAAACATAACTACTATATTCTTGTGCCCCCTCAATAATAACGTTTGATGCCTTTTTTTTACTTTGCTGTCTAGGAATATTTTGGTACATGTACTTGATAGTGCTTCCAACTGAAAATGTATTTTTGCCCCCCAAAAAACAACTACTGACATTGCTCCCTACGGCCTTTATCAACTCTCTTTTCCTTTCCACACCCCCTCGCTTTGAAAAATTTATAGATCCGCACCTGCGTAAGAACGACCTTCCATCTCGCATATATATCATCCTCGTAACTAAAACGTCCATCCGAAAATAAGTTTTGCCATTTAAATATTACTGAGTTAAACTGACTCAGGAAATAGTTTTTGATTGATTCCTCTATAAATTTGAGTGCCCTAGTGGTTTCTCTTTTCCAAGAGTTCAAACAAAACGCTACAACAGCGCGATGTTCCAAGCGTTCAAAATGTGGTACTCTTTCAGACAACTAACATAACATATTTATGGATTCTTATATAAATTTCAGAGACGTATGTGAACGATAAAAAAATTAATTTGCTTTCCATGGGTAAAAATATTTTTAATCTTTTGACCTTGACCTTAGAGTTTGGCCCACTTTCAAAAAATTTTAACCTTGGCCATACCTTTTGAACAGTTATTACTAGGGCTTTCAAATCTCACAGGTGTAATCCTTTGGATACCAAAAATTTTGACCTTCTGGCCTTGAGCTTGGAGTTTGACCTACAATTAAAAAAACTTAAACTTTCACCATAACTTTTGAACAGTTGGTGCTAGGGCTTTTATATTTTGCATGTGTATTTCTTATGACAAGGTTTGAATGACTGGTGCCTGGGTTTTTATATTTACCAGGTATATCCATTGACACAAGTCCTTTCATTGGGTAACAAAATTTTTTATCTCTTGACCTTGATCTTGGATTTGACTTTTGCCATAAGCTGCCATATGGGGGCATCAGTGTTTCACAAACACATCTTGTTTATGACAGTTTAAGTTGAAAGGATGGATTTAAAAAGCCATTTGAACAAAGGCCTTTGAAGGTGTCTCAATCAAGAAATAAAAACTTAAAACTTTGCATTGCTTCATCAGGGTATAATAACCTGATAAGAGGTATAAACCAAGGTTTAATGCAGCAGTAAGTGCTGCCAGGAAAAAAATCCCCCACTTCTGAGTCAACAAAAGTGAAGAATACAATAACCTCCACTGTTGATAAGGGTACAAGTCTAAATTTGCAACCCTCCACTTCAATTGGTGGTGGTGTCCATTCTGAAAGGGACCTAAAGCATACATATAATACCCCCCCCCCCCCTTCCAATGTTTTCTAAAAGAGTAAGCCCTAAAGATCTTTTTATTCATCGTTTAATTCAAAACCCATCATTCATTACAGGGTGTCAAAATTTAATCTCCATTATTGATGTACATTTTAAAAAAAACTTTTAAAAATAACTTTAGAAGTCACAAACATGTACAATAGAACGGTCTGACTGATTAATGCTCTATTGTACAATAGAACGATCTGACTGATTAATGCTCTATTGTACAATAGAACGATCTGACTGATTAATGCTCTATTGTACAATAGAACGGTCTGACTGATTAATGCTCTATTGTATACTGAGTATATTATGTTTATATCTGCATAAAATAATGAAAGAAAAAGTGAGCAAGCTCACATACCCCACGCTTCCCCAAAACTCGACAATGCAACACGTAATGAATGGCACAGTGCATTTTAAATACACAGTATAATTCAAAAAAGGGGCACTACTTGCAAAAAATCATCACATCAAAACTTCTTGCATATAAGGACATTCAAATCTTTGTATGTTACAAATTTAACTGGGCTGAAGTTTCTAGATAAATAATGGAATCAAAATTTCTTGGTAATATACAAATCTATACATTATTCTGAAATACCTACAAAGTTTCAGGAAATTCAGTGCCGGAATTATGCTGACAAACTGTTATTTAAATTCCTCAGTGATTTCGATTTGTTAATGAGTGTAAGTCCATGTCCAACACATGACAGTTTACACATTTAAATAATTGATGGAAACAAAATTATGATGTAGTCATATGAATCTGTTTATATACTGTACTTATGAAATTATTTAAGGCAAAGCACACCAATTTGAAGGGGGGGGGGGGGGGGGGAGAACTATCGAAGATGGTGTGTGTGTGAGTGTGTGTTTGTGTTAAACCATTAATATTTTGATCTCAAAATCAATAGGGGTCTTTTAAGGTCATAAAATATTTCACATAGAATTTCATTATAAAAAGCTGATTCCAGTGGAGTTTCTTATTACCTAGCTGGAAAGTTTCTTCAATAAAAGGCAAAACTCTTAAGGCAAAAATAATGGAATCGGAATTTCCTGGTAATATGCACATCTACACACTGTGTACTAAATATCTGCAAAGTTTGTCCAAATTCTGTGCAGCGGTTTAAGAGGAGTTGTGCTGACAAACTGTTCATCTCTATATTCAAGATATGGCCAAAAACCTAAGTTGAAAAGTGCCGAAATTCCCAGAAAAAATAATGGAATCAGAATTTCCTGGTAATATGCACATCTACACACTGTGTACTAAATATCTGCAGAGATTGACCAAATTCTGTGCAGCGGTTTAAGAGGAGTTGTGCTGACAAACTGTTCATCTTTATATTCAAGATATGGCCAAAAATCTAAGTTGAAAAGTGCCGAAATTCCCAGAAAAAATAAAGGAATCGGAATTTCCTGGTAATATGCATATCTATACATTGTGTGCTAAATATCTGCAAAGTTTGACCAAATTCTATACAGCGGTTTAATAGGAGTTGTGCTGACAAACTGTTCACCTCTATATTCAAGATATGGCCAAAAACCTAAGTTGAAAAGTGCCGAAATTCCAAGAAAAAATAAAGGAATCGGAATTTCCTGGTAATATGCACATCTACACACTGTGTACTAAATATCTGCAAAGTTTGACCAAATTCTGTGCAACGGTTTAAGAGGAGTTGTGCTGACAAACTGTTCATCTCTATATTCAAGATATGGCCAAAAATCTAAGTTGAAAAGTGCTGAAATTCCCAGAAAAATAATGGAATCGGAATTTCCTGGTAATATGCACATCTACACATTGTGTTCTAAATATCTGCAAAGTTTGACCAAATTCTGTGCAGCGGTTTAAGAGGAGTTGTGCTGACAAACTGTTCATCTTTATATTCAAGATATGGCCAAAAATCTAAGTTGAAAAGTGCCGAAATTCAAAGAAAAAAATAAAGGAATCGGAATTTCCTGGTAATATGCACATCTACACATTGTGTCCTAAATATCTGCAAAGTTTGACGAAATTCTGTGCAGCGGTTTATGAGGAGTTGCGCTGACAAAAAAACAGGACTGACTGACTGACTGACTGACTGACACACTGACTGACTGACTGACTGACGGACGGGTCAAAAACATTATACCTCACGCAACTTGTTGCGTGGGGTATAATGAATCTAAATTCAGAGGTCCCTCTTACTGAACAAGGCAAACACATGTTGAACAAATTCTTAAAATTGATCTGTAACAAAACACTGGGGTACATAAGGTTATAAATAGAAAGCAGAGACAGGCACATATAGACAACAACAAAATATTGTAAGATGTACCAGAACCAATGCCAATCAAGTTGTGGATCACAAAAATTGTTCTAAGCCAAACACTATGAAGTTTTGTGAAGTTATGTGTCAAAATGATGTTGATTTTTTTAAAAAATTATGTACATTTATTACTAACTAAGATTAATAGTATAAACCTATTTACTGGCTATGAGGACAATAGCAAGTTTATCGTCCCCCAAGACAGCAATTATTTCCCGAGGCGCAGCCGAGGGAAATAAGTTGCTTTCGAGGGGGACGTTAAACTTGCTATTGTCTGAATAGTCAGTAAATAGGTGTTTTATTATACCAAAGCCAACTATACTATTTTTGTTACGTCACAAACCGGATACGTCACAATACCACAAACCAGATAGTTTTGAGATGAAAAGTGAGGGAAATGGAATACTGCC